TGAGTGTTACACGCCTCCTTTTTCGCTGGCTGAATGTCAATGGCCTCCTGATTCGCTGGCTGAGTTTTACACGCCTCCTGATTGGCCAGCTGAGTGTTACATGCTTCCTTATTTGCTGGCTGAGTGTTATACGCCTCCTGATCGGCTGGCTGAGTGTTATACGCCTCCTGACGGGCTTTTTCAGTGTCACATTTTCCTGATTGGCTGGCTGAGTTTTACACATCTACTGATTGGCTGCCTGAGTGTTACACTGGTGTTACATTGGCTGGCTGAGCGTTACATGCCTCCTGATTGGCTGGCGGAGTGTCAAAGGCCTCCTGATTTGCTGGTTGAGTGTTACACACCTCCTGATTTGTTGGCTTAGTGTTACACGTCTCCTGATCGGCTGGCTGTCAAAGGCCTCCTGATCTGCTGGTTGAGTGTCACACACCTCTTATTTGCTGGCAGAGTTTTACACGTCTACTGATTTGCTGGTTGAGTGTTACACACCTCCTGATTTGCTAGCTGAGTGTTATACGTCTCCTTATTGGCTGGCTGAGTGTTTTAAATGGTAAATGGACCTGTACTTGTATAGCGCCTTTCTAGTCTTCCGACCACTCATTCATACGACATTCACCCTTCCACACACATTCACTCAGTGATGGCAAAGTCCATCGAACAGAAACTAACTCGTTCATACACATTCACACAGCGATGCACGGCATCGGGAGCAATTTGGGGTTCAGTATCTTGCTGATTCGCTGGCTGAGTGTCACACGCCTCCTTATTCGCTGGCTGAGTGTCAATGGCCTCCTGTGTCGCTGGCTGAGTGTTTTAAGAATCTTGGATTCATTCACCAAGAGTTTCTTCGAGAGCAGTTAAACAACAAACTGGACTGAACGGATAACACTGAGGCACTCTGCAGGAAAGGACAGAGCAGGATGTTCTTTTTAAAGGGGGCTTAGGCATTCTAATGCTCCATATGATTTGTTGTTAGGCATAAAAAAAATGTCAGTTCTGTAGTATAGGAAGTCAAGGATTGGATTCCATGGAATGGCGCCGGCGACAACGGCAGCCTGTCATGGCAGCTTCTTTCATTGTTGCAGTTTTAGTGTGTTTTCAGTGTGTTTTTGCTATTTTGAACTCTTTTCTTACTTTCTTACTTTCTTACTACTTTGTTCATGTCGCCTAAATACTTTTTTTGAGCACTTTTTATTTTTTGTTTACGCTGGTCTCCATGGCGACGGGGAGTTGCATTGTTTTCACCCACGACCAGATGATCGCCCTGAGGCCCCCTAGCATCCTGACTGAAGAGAGACCCTCCATACCGGAGGAGCTGAGGAGGAGAAGGTGAGGCTGCAGAGCGGGTGTTAAACGGAGGATGAAGAAGAGGAGCTTTAAACTCTACATCCCTGCAATCATCGAGCAGATACCGGACTCCATCGTCACCATTCCCGGCTTCCAGACGGTTCGAGCCGACAGGGACACCACCGCGACCGGCATGAAGAAAGGAGGGGGACTGTCGATGCTCATAAACAACAGGTGGTGTAACGCCGGGCACGACTGTGTGAAAGAGCGTCTGCAGCCCGGACATCGAGCTCATCGCCGTCGGACTTCGTCCGTGTTGTCTGCCACAGGAACTTTCCAGTGTTGTCGCCATCACTGTCTATATTCTTCACAGTGGTCTTCATCATCACCATGTTTACATTTATGATGTCCTATTTATTCTCCTGTACAGCACTTTGGTCAACTTTGGTTGTTTTTAAAGTGCTTAACAAATAAAGTTGGATTGGATTGGATTGAAGGTGAGACTAAAATGGATAATTTTTATCCTTTAGGTGTATATGTCACCAAATATCGACAAAACAAAACTCTTCACAGCTGTTTTCAAGAGACCTTCTCGTTGTCGGCTGGGCATTTGAAATAAGGCTTTTTTCTAAAAATGAATTCAGCATGCAGTTAAAATCTGCATCTTGGTCTTTCTCTCTTTACCATTTACTCCTTTTCAATGGAACAGAGTCTCCAATTGTCTATAAGGCAAAGTGTCTTTGGACATATACCCCAACTTAAAAGTGAATCAAAGTTGTTTTGAACTGACACCTTTCACATCTCCGTGTATCAGCTTTGGACAATCAATTAGAAAGCACTTTGATCTCCCCACCACGATGAAGATGTGCTGTCCAAACCAGCTGATGAAGCTTTTATCCCTTCATGTCCATTTTTTTATTTAAAAATACAAAAACAAACAAACAATGGCTACTTTGTTGTCTGATTGAAAGGGCCAAATTTGTTTTTGCTAACTGGTTACTGTTAGTGGCTAAGGTAGTCACTTAAGTCAATATGTAAACATAGACTTTTACAAGAGGTGTAGCCCTAGTACTGGAACCCTTGTGTGTGTGACGTGATTTTTATTTTGGCACGCAGTCACACTGCTACGTCTCAAGCACTGTAGTAATATTTTATGAAATGTAACTTCAAGTATGAAAAACAAATTCCTGAAATTCAGTTATGGCTTTTGTTTTGACCATAAAAAAAACTGTTACACCATGATATATATATATATATATATATATTATGGTGTAACAGTTTGGGTCCGTGTTTCTTGGTTGAGCTAATGTTATCTTGAGAGAGAGTGGAAAAAGGCACAGGCATAAACTCACAGCCACACTGGTACTGGGGTTTCCACAATACTTGTTTATTACTAACACCTCAACCTTATCAAGCCCGGTTGTATGCCTACTATTTTATCATACATGAACATAATAGAGGCCACACGTAGTCTAAACGTTACTGTTGAGTTGAGAGGCAAAAAGAAAACAGTAGCTCAGCAACAGGCATCCATTCACAACAGGTGTACCGCTCAACTAACTCAAGACAGATTAGGTGTTGTCTGATGACGCGTCTCTCGTATCTTGACAACACAGTCTCTTAAAGGCACATTTCACAAGTTCGGCTGTTACAATGGCTTGTTCACATCGCCCACACCTGCATTACGTTTGTGTGGCAGAACATCTTGATTTTTATTTCGGCGTACATGTTAACAGATTAGAGTGGTCACACTGCCCATAGGGCAACATAACAAACATAGGGCTGGCAGTAGCAGCTCTGTAGCAGCCATGTAGCTGACAAGCTCTGGATATGAATGCCGCTGATGTGAACTGCTAATATTCTATTTCCTCCCTTTGAGAAGAAAAAGCGGCAGAGCGTCATTCCGCCATGCTCTGACATATATTACTGCTAACCATAATAAATACTTTTGGTTTCAATGAGGTTTCAGAATCGATTGATTGTATTATGATCTTGCAATCTTATTAGCATAATACTTGCATAACCAGCATACACAGAGCAACATTATCATTCATTTGGAGTAGTCATAATACATGTTAGAAGTGCTGAAACTGATCAAAAGCAGTGTGAAGATTTTTACATGAGAAACACATGCACACACACACACACACACACACACACACACACACACACACACACACACACACACACACACACACACGTTATTAGTCAAAAAAGGAAGTGAAAAAGAAACGTTCAACATCTGGAAGCTCTTTCACCCCTTGATCCCATCCCCCAATCCATTCCCTCTCCATGCTTTCTCCATTTCACTCCAGGTCTTCTAGACCTGTGTCTGGAAAGAGTTAAGTGTATACACTAGCATATGTGTGTCGTGAAATACACCTGGGCACCCTGGTGGTCATAATGTTATAGAGCCCTAAATGCAACAAACTGCAATGCACTGTGTTCTGACACCTTTCTATCAGAACCAGCATTAAGTTTTACAGTAGCTCATCTGTTGGATCTGACCACTCGGGCCGGCCGTTACATCAATAAGCCTTGGCTGCACATGACCCTGTCGTTGGTTCATCACTTTTGATAGGTACTGACCACTGCAGACTGGGAACACCCCAGAGTTGCTGTTTTGGAGATGCTCTGACCCAGTCATTTAGCCATCACAGTTTGGCCCTTGTCAAATGTAAGTCAAATCCTAAATTTTTCCTACTTCTAAAACATCAACTTTGAGAACAAAATATTAACTTGCTGCCACCACTAACAGGTGTCATGATAATCAGTGTTATTCACTTCACCAGTCAGTGGTTATAATGTTATGGCTGATCGATGCATGTGTGCATGTTGGTTTGTGTGCATACACATAGGCCAGGCCGGCAAGGAATAGCTTTGGCCTCCAAATTGGAAACCAAGCGGTTAGGAGTGCTATTGCAAGCTTATTTAAAAATATATGTTCAATTTATTTTTAAATGAAGAGACAATACCTTGGCAGGCTATATCAGTTAGTCTGGTAAAATATTTTAGCTTATTCAACTTTATCACAGCCCTAAGCGATAGATGCTAATATTTTTAAGCACTGGCCCCACCAGCAACGAGAACCCTAAGCGTTGCTGCTTGGGCCCCTAAAAAGTACATGGTCAAAACAGTTCATTACATTCATTCTTTATTTTTTTTTTTTAATGCCAGTGTTTCCTTTTTCAGTTCAAGTTTTGTTTTAAATGCCAATTTTAATTTTCACTGCTAAAATCTAAAGTAAGTAATTAAAGTAATTCTCCATACATCAGTTGGCAAATAGACCATCAGCATAATGATCACACATCAAACATTTTAATAGTTTGTTTTGTTTCTTTTATTTTCAATACAGGCCTAATAAAATAACTTAAGTAAATAAGTTCTATCATTATATTTGTTGTTGTCAATATATCATTACACATTTGCAAATGCTGCTTGCAAGTACAATGTCTGTGAAACATCATATCAGGCTACCAGTGGATTAAGAAGTTGCCTACAAAATGTGTTACTATCCTAGAAGCAACGAATATTTTGCTATTTTGCTTGTTTGTTCACATCTCTCACGCTCTCTCTTATGTCCTGTCTGCTTTTTGTCAGTTTACAACTATAGCTGTAGGAGCACACCCTCCCTCCACTGCGTCATCCAGGGAAGAGGGGGAGGTTGCTCCTTTTAAACCAATACTACAAGCTGGATTGCAACCAGAGGAACCGCTGACTTCATCTCACTTCAGCAGAGGAGGACCTCAAAACCTTGTGGACGTGGTCTACTATCCGCTCCGAGGTTTGGAAGTTGCATTAGACCAATTAGAACTGTTTCACCATGGCGCATTAACGGAAACATTCGTTAGAAACGCCGGTTGGACTTTGTCGGACATGTGCAGTAAATTAACATAATATCAGAGATCAGATATCAGGGATTAATAGGCTGCCATTAGGGAAGGAAGAGATTCAGCACAGAGCTGCAGCGCCGAGGGGGCGCACGGAGATCACGCACGTGTGTGCCGGTTTGTGATTTTACTCTTTACTCGCTGATATGGTGTGATCACTTCTCTTACATCTGAGGACACGGGCTGAAGGATCCATCATCTTTGGGAGACGATCAACAGAGTTACGGTTAAGATGCCAGGGAGAGAAGAGTCGTATCTGTGGTTGCTGATCCTCATTATGGTGTCGGTGTCTGTCACTGGATTTCCCACGAGTTTAAAGAAGACTTCAGTCGGAGACAGACACACTACAACGTCTCTCACTGAGGTAAATTGTCCTGCATGCTGCACAGATTATATGGGTACAGAGAGGAGAGTGGTGCTTTTGAGTTTTTTCTCATGAGAGAGTGGACTTTCTCATGAATATTGAGATTGCTATTTAAGTTGTGTTTCTAATATTGATTTCGGCCTATAAATCTTTGATATTCAATATATCAGAGCTATCTACACTACACCTTCTACAATATATCAAAAGCTTTATCAGTTATCACTAATGTCTAAGTGACCAGAAGAGGTAAGTCTCTGCGTTTCTAGGACTGCATTTCCACTGACTCTAGTTTTTCGTGACAGCACCACCAAGCCAAATAGTACTTCCAGTTTTAAAGGTATATTCCATCCAAATACTACTTTATTCAAGTACTTATAGTTTTAAAGGTTTATTCCACCAAAATATTGCTGTATGCAAGTACTTAAAGTTTTAAAGACTTATTTTACCCAAATAGTCCTTTACTTGTAGGTATACATATATAGTTACAAGTTGGACAATTAGTGTCATTAGTTCATTATACTCAGGTAAAATAAGGAATCATATGCCTTGCCCTTGCAGTCACTATCTCTACCAGATATTTGAAAGGTCAGAGAGATACAAAACAGCTGGTAGCTATATATGGGCTAACAGGGCTAAGCCCTCCCTATCTTTTACAGTAAAGATGAAAAACTATTATTAAAAACCTTAGAACATATTGTTTTAAATTTTGATGAAACCTAGAGCAGCAACAGCAGCAGTGACTGAAAAAACCCAGGATATATGATATATCTTGGGTTTTTCCTGTGAATGGGCTTAATTCTTAGCTTCCATCAAATTTTGATTGACAGGTGTCGTGACACGCCCCCTTAATATGCTGTCCATTTCGGCTAAATTAATTCAGCTCAAAGGCTTCGACCAATCACAGCTCAGTAGCCACAGTATAGTGATCTTCGACCAATCACAGCGCAGTAGCCACAGTACAGTACAGTAATGCTAGTTCGTAGTAGAACGTGGAGAGAGGGAAGTGAGCAACTGTGGCAATGGCGGCATTAGCATGAACATGAACGAGGTGGATTATGTACTTTCTAATCAATTTTCTCCAAGTCTTTGGAGGAAAAATTGGAAGTAAAGAGATTGGGGACATATCATCCAAACGATGTTCAAATAACACAAAAGGACAAACGACAAAATTGTTATTTTTTGTAAGGGCTGGCTAACGGCAAGTGTAGCTAGGAACACACTTATCTGTTTCCCATATTTGCTTTTTGGAGGAGACACGGCTTGGACCCAACAAGGAATTGTGGATTTGAAACATTTATCCAACAAAATTAGGAAACATGAGTGAGAGTGTGAGAGTGAGTACAGGCTCAGTGACCACAAACTGGCAATAGAAACAGGAAGACACAAAAAATCATGGCAACCAAAAGAAAACAGAAAATGTGGTCACTGTTTGAGAGGTGAGGTTGAGACAGAGATGCACTTTCTCCTACAATGTACAAAATTAAATAATACTAGAAACATTTATTTGAACAAGTTCAGCTCTTTGATACCAGATTTCAAAGAGCTGAACGACCTCTCCAAATTAAAAATACTCCTCGATGAAGGAGAGCAGGCGCACCTTGCTGCCCAGTAGGTATTAACATGCCACAACCTGAGGGACAGTGAGTGACCGAGGCACACACAGACACACACACGCACACACACAGACACACTGTATATACTAATATAATGTTCATAATGTATATATCTTTGATTTATTGTATTGTATTTGAATACTTTGCTTTGGCAATATTGTTTTTAAAAAAAACTTTCATGCCAATAAAGCCCATTGTTGAATTGAATTTGAATTGAATTGAATTGAATTGAATTGAATTGAATTGAATTGAGAGAGAGAATATACAGACTTTTTTTTGGCCTCAGGCCACTCTTTTGGGTATGTCTCCCCAGTGTTGCCTTAGAGCACTTGCTATGACAAAGAATACAATTACGGATGGGGCCGATCCGATCCGGTATCGGTATCGGGATCGATACTAGCGTAATTTATGTATCGGAATTTCCGGCGTCGTACAACACTACAAACGCAATCAAACATTTAAAAAAAACACCACACGAAACAGCACGAGGACTTTTTAGGCGAGCTGTCAGGAATCACTTCTGGAGTCATTCCAAAAACAAGGTAAACTCCAGGCAGACAACTGAAGGCTAAATCGATTACCGTGTGTGTGTGTGTGTGTGTGTGTGTGTGTGTGTGTGTGTGTGTGTGCGTGTGTGTGCGCACGCGTGTAAGATGTTTACAGTTATTGCACTTTTCTTATATTTCAGATAATGGACATTTTAAAACCTTGATTTGTTGATGCTACAAGAGCCAGTGCACTTGATTTGTGCTGTTCAGATGCACACTGTTTTATTGATAGTATGTGTGTAAGATGTTTACACTTATTGCACTTTTCTTATATTTCAAGACTCAAATATTTGACATTTTGGGAATTTAATAAATATTGACATGGCAATACATTTGAAACCCTTACAGTTGTATATTTGTTGGGATTTTTGGGATTTTTCCTGTTAACAGGATTTCCTGTTTTTCTGGCTTCCTTTTCTGACCTTATACTTGCCTCAAGTTGCCTTTTGGGACATACATGCATACATACGTACATATCATACTTGTCTGTTGAGAGGAGTTTATTTCAGCCTCATATAAAATCAACAATAATGATAATAATAATATTAAAGCAAACACAGCTCTGGTATCGGAATAGTATCGGTATCGGCCGATATCCAAATTCAGGTATCGGGATTGGAAGTGAAAAAATGTGGAGCGGTGCATCCCTATATACAATGTTGTTGCTGTAACTTGATGTGATGCTACTGTTGCTGCTGTTGCTGCTGTATGATGTATTGATGAGTGCAATGCATTTGTTAGCCCACCCACCCAAAATCACCACCAGCCATACATTAATCGACACTTTAATTAAGTTAAGATATTAACTGATAATAGTAAATAAAAGAGACACATCATATCAACGTGCTTTTATCATCATTTGAAGTTTAATTCATGTACTGGCTATACTTAAATGTCAGTCATTAAATCAACAATATAAGAGACATAACGTTAGTTGGGCTTGCCAAATCACATTATAGTGCCATTAAAATAAATTAAGATGATAATAATAATAAAAAAATAAAGACTAGGACAGCACTCCAAATGTTATTATGGAATATAATTTACCACAGGCGTCCCAGGCAAGACCCCTTCTACAGCATGCATTCACTATCAATATACTGTTCACAGGTGGGGTTAATTATAGATGACTGCAATTGCATACGGTAATTGAAATTGCTAGAATACACGCTGATGAAGAGGGTGTTGCTCAAAACGTTTTGGCTTTATCATAGTTAGCTACTCACAGCTAACTTTAGCTGACATTAACTTTGCTGTCCAGTTCAAGACACCTAGATTGTTTTTAATGTTGAACTTATGTTACTCACACTCTGGTTGTCGTCCATCTCATCCCTCTCACGTGTCGGCGAAATGTGGTCCTTGGTCATCCAATTCGGTAGGTGGCAGTGTCTGGTCCTACAAATGCGTTCCTAGCTTACCATGCTTCCCTTGAATTCCTCACAAACTGTAAAACACTGACCAGTCTTGGGGAGTAATGGATTAGGTGTAACTGAGTTACAAAATCAGGATACAGAAAAAGGTAAGTATAATTCATTTAAGTTACAGAAGAAAGTAGATGCAATCAGATTACAGTTACATTTAGTTAAAATAGGGATAATTAGTAGGTTTACAATTTTCTTTAAAAAGAAACTGAGCAGATGACACATTTTGTATGGTAAAAGTCTTGGTTTCCATTTTCTTTTCTAAGTTTTCATTGTTCTGTTGTCTTATAGTATGTTATCTTCTAGAATATGCTTACATCAATACTTGCTTCCGATATTTATTTTCCCTTGTCTTGCATATTTGTTGTTGAGGTAAGCCAAAAGTAACGGAAAGTAATCAAGTTACGTTACTTTAATATTGCGATAGTTTAGCTTACTGACTAAATCTTTTAACAGGTAATTAGTAATTGTATCAGATTACATTTTTAAAGTAATCCTCCAAACCCTGGCCTTCACTCACCACTATGAGCTTTACTCTCAGGTAGGGATGGCCTGTTCTAGTAACACAGGTCACATATACATATACAAGGCAATTGTTGGTTTGCTTCAGTGCTATCTACTGTATGTATTTGTGTGATGGACAGCATTCCATGTGGTCAAGGGACTTTTATATGTTGTCTGTACCAATTGTTCGTACAGAGATTGGGAAAAGGACGTTTGGGAACTCTCAGATAATTTCTTCGAATGCTTTTAAATCCATAATTACATTAAATAAAACAAAAAATAAAATGTAACATTGAGCCCTATAAGTTTGATATGTGTTGATATGGTTGGGTGTGGTGTGAGTTTTGTTTGTTCACAGCACAAACTCTGATGGATGTGGGCTTTATTTATAAACTCTCTGAACTGATAAAAAGTGTAAAGTCCCATAGGCCATAGACGCATCGGATGTTGTGGTAGTTTAAGAATAACATAATAATCAAGAATACCACATAAGTATTTGATGTTGCCTTGTCAGCATTTCCTGCTGACTGCCCCTTACCCCAGACCTAAAAATGTACTGACGTACATTACTACTTCTGAAGACCTGAGTTATACTGGTGGTTGTGACACATTTTGCATTTCCACTTCATTTAGTGCTCATTTTTAGCTGCAGTTTGCATACAGTCGTCAGATGAAGCAAACACTAACCTCCTCAGACAGAAACTCTCAGTAAAGTCTTATGAATTAATGAATGAATGAATGGTTGGCTGGGTTTTAGACTCTTAGACTGGCAGAGAACTTAACAAATAAACTTAACAAATAAATTGGCCGTCAGATCATCTCCAACTGCAGCTCTTGTGGGGTGTTCCCGTATCTATCTCTCTCTCTCTCTCTCTCTCTGTTTTTTTCTCTCTCTCAATTTTCAATTTAATGGGCTTTATTTGCATGACATCAAATCAAAAAAAAAAACATGAATGTATGTATCTATATGTTTATATGTATTGAGCCAGGACGGTGACTTTAAAATTTGGCATCCCAAAAAAAAATTGGCATTGAAAACAAAACCAGTACTAAAAAAGGAAACATTGACATTGAAACATTTGTATTGAAAACAGTTGTATTGGCATTGAAACAAGTATTGGCACTGAAAAAAGAAACTAATTAAAATAATTAAAATCTTAAAATCTTATTATTTTATTTTATTGGGATTTTTTTGTATTTTTCAATGACAATCTTCAGATTTTTTCTTCATGTCACTCTATTTTCAGTGACAGATTTTTTTACAATGTCAGTTTTTTTTTCCAGTGTCACTGATTTTCAGTTTCAACTTTCTGTCATGGTTTTGGCGTTGAGAGGAGGGGTCTGAGGGGAGGGGTAAGTCGAGCGTGGTTGTAATAATAATAATGCTGAGAATACTTGTACACTCGAAATTTAAGTGCGGCTGATTTGACCACGGAGATCGGAGTAACGGCTGGCTTGACCGCAGTTAATGAGCCTAGAGGCATATGCACAGGAAGCACAACTGCCTGTGCTTAACCTAAGGTTTCTCGTGAGCACGAGATATATATATATTTTTTTCCCCCATGTCCCTTTATGGGGCTTTAGAGCAGACGGCGGGTTCCGGAAAAGAGACGTACTTCTTCAGTATGCCGATATGCAAATTATATGCAAACCACACTCTACTTGCCCCTCCCCTCAGACCCCTCCTCTCAACGCCAAAACAGTGACAGAAATTTGAAACTGAAAATCAGTGTCACTGAAAAAAAACTGACATTGTAAAAAAATCTGTCACTGAAAAAAGAGTGACATGAAGAAAAAATCTGAAGATTGTCATTGAAAAATAAATAAAAAAATCCCAATAAAATAAAACAATAAGATTTTAAGATTTTTATTATTTTAATTAGTTTCTTTTTTCAGTGCCAATTCTTGTTTCAATGCCAATACAACTGTTTTCAATACAAATGTTTCAATGCCAATGTTTCCTTTTTCAGTACTGGTTTTGTTTTCAATGCCATTTTTTTTTTTTTGGATGCCAAATTTTAAAGTCACCGTCCTGGCTCCATATATATGCATGTGTTTATACAGTGTGTGTGTGTGTGTGTGTGTGTGTGTGTGTGTGTGTGTGTGTGTGTGTGTGTGTGTGTGTATGTATGTATGTATGTATATATGTGTATATATGTATGTATGTATGTATATATGTGTATATATGTATGTGTATATATATATATGTATATATATAGGGCAAAAATACTCAAACCTGCAGGCAGAGTTTATCAATAATGGAAATGTATTTATTGTATAATGAAATGAAAGTTTGTAGTTTATTCATGCTAGATGCATAGAAAAAGATAATCAAATTCATAGTAAAAAATAAAAGATACATTTAATATAATACAAATAAAATTAAAGCTGCCAGCAGTGATTGTCGAGTGCGTTGGGGTGTAACCTAATTGCCGTTCTTCTGAGTTAATATTTATTAACTTAACCAAATAATGCGCTAAAGCAGTCTGGTTGGAAACTCATAGGTTTATGATGGACAGTTATCCCTTTCCACTCCCCTCCCAAGAGGCATGCTGAATCTGATATGACCACATTTTGTAGAGGGCGTCAGATTTTTTAGCCAGTTCAAATTTAAATTGTGTGCTGTATTGTGGAAAAAATTGTATGGAATGGATGGCTCTCAAATGTCATGCACTCTAGATAAGGTAAAGATGAAACTGTATATTATAATGTACAGTATGTATCAGAATGTATACTTTATGTGACGATTGTGTGTAAGGTTGGATTCTTTGCCTTTTCTTTGGTTTTTAATGAAAGAACATGAGCCAGTGCTTTCACTGCACTAGTTTGTGCTAAGCAAAAGACCTCATCCACACATCTATATATACATGCAATAATTCTACAGTAATACATTCTACACATAAAATCCTGTGTTTGTTGCAACCACTTGGAATTTACTGTCTATGTAGCAGTTTTGTTTGTTGTCTTTTTTCCAGTTTGTTTATCATCTTCCATGCATAGGCTCAAAGATTTATCATTATATAAAACAAGGTTATACAATGAAATGAAAGTTTGCACTGCATTCATGTTACACACATAAGAAAAACAGATAATTAAATATAATTTCATCTTCACATAAAAAGTCCAACTTTTGAGAAACAGTCTCCTCATCCTGCTACAATTACAAGTAAATAAGTAACAAGAACTTAAATAAAATGTTACTAAAGAATGCGGAAACATTGCTGTTTTATTGTTGTTAAAATGAGCAGTGTTGGATGAAATGTTAAGTAAATGTATCTGACACGTTAAAATACCAAATGTAACTTCTGTTTTTCTGTTTTATTTTTCATGAACCATAAAAGCACTATATAAATGCAGCCCATTGCTGCTTCTCCGGCAGAGCATAATACAACAGAGTTGCATGGTGAGGCACATTATATGATAGATTCCTTTATTTCTCTGTTCCCCCAAAAGCATCCAAGCATCACCCATCAAGATGTTTGGTTTTACCAGATTTTAACCCCATGCACAAGTATTTACTTTGCCTCTGTGAAGGAATCCTCTGATTGCACCTCCTGGTGGCACTGGGCTGATAAGCAAGCAGCAAACCAAATAGCTTGTGATTTAGGCTAAGACTCCTGTTAATCAAGGAAACTCAACCCAAAATCAGACTTTAAATTATTTATTAATTTATCAATTGTTTTATTAGTTTAAATTAATTATTATTAATTATTAATTTATGAATTATAAGACATTGTTCCACAGCATCAATAGTGGCCAAAAACGTTAACATACTTTCTTTTTCCCCTCTTAGGTGATAGCAGTCCATAGTCATGGCAAAGAACATCAGACTCTCCAGGAGCTCCAGCAGGAGAACCTGCTGCAGACCCTACCCTCTGCTCCGTCTTCCCCCAGGTCGCGACACCGTTGGTCCCCGTACAGTCACCAGAGTGTCTTGTCCCTACCTAAACGTGAGGAGGACCATGAGCTTTTCATTCTGGACCTCAGGAACTTCCCAGACCTGGCCAATGCAGACATGGGTTCACAGAACCCCAACATCCAGGTAGGTAATATGCATGGAGAGAAGTTATTTTTTTATTCATTATCATTGGAAGTAAGTTGTCACTTGTCTCATAACATGAATAGTTAATTTCACTGAAGTATAGGTGTTCCACATTTAACCAGTGATCACAGGAGGTATGGGTGTTACAGATTCCTCATCCATCTCTCTTTCCTAATACTCTGTTCTCTACATTTTGTATCTCTCTTGCTCCACATCCTGTTGCTCTACACCTGGTTTGAGTCAGGACATTGTCTTAAGTTATCATATGCAGGACCTTTAACAGTGGAGCGTTCCAACTTGTACATGACCCTTAATAGTTTGGAGAAATGTAAGAAAAAAGGAAAAACAAAAAATATAAAACATATGAGAGTGGAATATGAAAGGTCAAAATGTAATTTTTCAGTTCAAGTGTGAAGCAGAATCCTTGTGGAGTTGGCTTTAGAAACAAGCATTATGTCTTGTGGATTGGAGCTAAACAGAAATGATGTTGGACTCTGTGACTATGTTTATGTTTTCAGTATTTGAAGAGAAACAATCAAGCCAAATGCAAATCAATCAATTCAGATGGACAATTAAGAGAGACAATTGTAGACAATATACATTTAAATACAATAACTTCTGGCACAGCAAAAAGCTTTTTTTTTAAATTGTTTTTTATAATTAAGCCCAACTTGTGGCCCTTCAGCCCTTCTCTCCCTCATTTCCTGTCAGTCTTCAGCTATCCTTTGCAATAAAAGCAAAAGCTTTTTTTAAAAATATTTTTTTATAACAAAAAACACAGAGCCCCACTACAAAAACTGCAATTGCAAGTGCATTTTTGCATGAATATAAGACATTATGGGTAGAGTTATCTTTTTTCAATACAACATAAGGCATGCGGCCTCTAAATTAGCTTTTCTACTTATTACGACAGTTAAATCCAGGCTTACTAAAATTGAAAGTGAAATAAAAATTGTATTTGGAAAGGAAGATGAAAGGCTATACGGCTGGTAGATATGGTCGCACTCACACCAGATTGTCAGTAAATACACCAGGGGGTAAGGTTCAGATTTAAACTTAAACTCCAGACAGTCAGATTCCCAGTGTACAGGTTATAGCATGAATTGCAGTTAAGTTAATATATCCAATCTGTTCATGAAATGTTCTCTGCCAGCTTCAGTGAATGAACTTAAATTAATATATTCAATTCAATTCAATTTTATTTGTATAGCGCCAATTCATAACAGAAGTTATCTCAGGACACTTTTCAAATAGAGCAGGTCTAGACCGAACTCTTTAAAACATTAATTACAGAGACCCAACAGTACCACCATGAGCAAGCACTTGGCGACAAGGGCAAGGAAAAACTGCCTGTTAAAAGGCAGAAACCTAGGACAGATCCTCCGGCTCTAGGTGGGTGGTCGTCTGTCTCGACCAGTTTGGGGGAGAGAGAGAGAGAGAGAGAGAGAGAGAGAGAGAGAGAGAGAGAGAGAGACAGACACAGACAGACACAGACAGACAGACAGACAGACAGACAGACAGACAGCAACAGTATTGGCAATGGCAATCTAGCAGGACCATGGCAAGTGGCTCCACCAGGATCGACAAGAACCTGCGAGACGAGAAAGCACAAGAACTCCGGGGAAGAAGTGAAGTTAGTAACATGCATTAATGGAACATGAATGAGTGCAGAGAGAGAGAGGAAGGGAGGAGCTCAGTGCACCATGGGAAATCCCCCAATAGTCTAGGCCTATAGCAGCATAACCAAGGGATGGTTCAGGACTCACGTGATCCAGCCCTAACTATAAGCTTTATCAAAGAGGAATGTCTTAAGCCTACTCTTGAATGTGGTGAGGGTGTCTGCCTCCCGAACCACAACTGGAAGCTGGTTCCACAGGAGAGGAGCTTGGTAACTGAAGGCTCTGAGGAGCTTGGTAACTGAAGGCTCTGGCTCCTGTTCTACTTTTAGAGACTATAGGAACCACAAGTAGCCCAGCATTCAGAGAACGTAGTGTTCTAGTGGGGTAATAGGGTACTATGAGCTCTTTAAGATATGAAGGGGCCTGACCATGAAAAGCTTTATAGGTGAGGAGGATTTTAAATTCTATTCTACATTTTACAGGGAGCCAATGCAGAGAAGCTAGTACAGGAGAGATGTGATCTCTTTTTCTAGTTCCTGTCAGTACTCGTGCTGCAGCGTTCTGAATTAATTGAAGCGTTTTAATGGACTTATTGGGGCAACCTGATAATAAAGAGTTGCAGTAATCCAGCCTTGAAGTAACAAATGCATGGATTAGTTTTTCTGCATCTGTCTGTGATAGTATGTGTCTAATTTTTCTAATATTACGTAAATGAAAGAAGGCAGTCCTAGAGGTCTGCTTTATGTGGCAGTTAAATGATAAATCCTGATCAAAGATAACTCCAAGATTCCTGACAGTGGTGCTAGAGGCCAAGTTAATGCCATCTAGAGTAACTATATCTTTAGACAGTGAGTCTCTAAGGTTTTTGGGGCCAAGAACAAGAATTTCGTTTTTTTCTGAGTTTAACATCAGAAAATTGCAGGTCATCCAGGATTTTATGTCCTTAAGACATGTTTTTAATTTAGATAAATGATTAATTTCATCGGGCTTGATTGATAGATATAACTGCGTATCATCTGCATAACAGTGAAAGTTAATGGAGTGATTCCTAATAATGTTGCCTAAAGGGAGCATATATAAAGTAAATAGTATTGGTCCAAGTACAGAACCTTGTGGAACTCCATGACTAACTGTAGTATTTATTGAAGATTCATCGTTAACATGTACAAACTGCGAGCGATCTGATAAATATGACTTAAACCAGCTTAGTGCGGTTCCTTTAATGCCAATTTGATGCTCAAGTCTCTGTAAAAGAATATTATGGTCAATGGTGTCAAATGCAGCACTAACATCTAATAATACAAGTACAGAGACAAGTCCATTGTCAGAAGCAATCAGAAGGTCATTATTAACTTTAACCAGAGCTGTCTCTGTGCTGTGATGAACTCTAAATCCTGATTGAAAATCCTCAAATAAACTATTGTTATGTAGAAAGTCACACAACTCTTTGGCGACTACTTTCTCCAGAATCTTAGAGAGGAAGGGGAGGTTAGAAATCGGTCTATAGTTGGCTAAAACCCCTGGGTCAAGAGTGGGCTTTTTAAGAAGGGGTTTAATTACAGCTACTTTAAAGGACTGTGGTACATATCCTGATAATAAAGAAAGATTAATCATATCCAGTAAAGAAGTGCCAATTAAGGGAACAACTTCTTTAAGCAGCCTAGTTGGGATCGGGTCTAATAGACAGGTTGATGGCTTCGATGAAGAAATGATTGAAGTTAACTGATGAAGATCGATAGCAGAAAAACAGTCTAAATATATATCTAAGTTTACATTGGCAGAAGCCCCTCAACTTGGAGAGCCACTGATAACTGTTGATGGCAGTTGGTGATTAATTTTCTCTCTAATAGTAATAATTTTATTATAGAAGAAGCTCATGAAGTCATTGCTACTTAAGTTTACGGGGATATGTGGCTCAATAGAGCTGTGGCTCTCTGTCAGCCTGGCTACAGTGCTGAAGAGGAACCTAGGGTTATTCTTATTTTCTTCTATTAGTGCTGAGTAATAGGCTCCTCTGGCATTACGGAGGGCCTTTCTATAAGTTTTAAGATTATCTTGCCAATTTGAGCGATTTTCTGATATATGTGCATGTCCACCTTTTCAGAACTGCTTATAATGATTTTTTAACAATTAAATCTTGTTTAGTGTCGTAGATATAGCTATAATTTCTTAGTGTGTTGTTCTTTAACCTTTTTCTTTTCCTTTTTAACTCATGTGAAGTGTCTGAGTTTCTTGAAAAGCGCTCTATAAATTTAATGTATTATAATGATATGTGTGTGGTCTACAGGAAAACAAGGAAATAAATGTATTGCTAATTATGAACAGTACACAGTACATATTAACAGGCTTGCCTGTATATGCATCCATCAGCTACTCATTTACACTATACATTATGCATGTAATCAGTAAGGATTACGTTTAAGTGTGTTAATATGATGCATATGAAGAATGTACAGAATATAGAGGGAAACATATGTTTAATCACTTGAACAGAATTGGTTTCAGAGTAAGTAGTTTATCCTCTCTTCTTTTTCATATTCAGCGTCATGACAGAATCTCTTATCAGCTGAGATATGTCTCACATCACATGAGCATGCATGCATGCAAGCATGACCTGGGTTTTGTCTAGACCTGTGTGTGCTTATGTGTGTATGCATGTGTATGAGAAACAGCAAGATAGTCAGAATAAGATATCAGTTCATCTTTCCATCCTACTTTATTTTACTTCTATATTTCCAGTCCTTTCTCCCACTGCACAATAAGCCTCTTTCATAGGAGAGTACACTTTAATCTGATCTTCAAATAAACAGCAGTGACATCACTCCCCACATCATGTCTGAGAGACTGTATGAGTTTTTTTAATTCAATTTATCTATCTTCTGACTGATTTGGTTTTTCATACTTCCCATGTACAATTTGTAAAGTTACGGAGGAGGCCCCCACATTAGTCCTGGATGCCTGCTAAACAGATATCCCAGTATGTTAAATTGAGAGCTTTCAGTACCACCCCACATATAACCATTGTTGCTGTTCTCTAATGCAGCCATCCACTTGTAAAATGGTTTTAACCTATACTTTATTAAAATGCTCAAGGCCAAAAATGTTTTAAGGAAGATAGTTTTGAACAACATTTCTATTGCCAGTTTGCTTTTGTATATTCAATGCTGTTCACAATCTATGAAATAAAATATATTTGATACTTTTTTTGAAACTTAACTGAGTTTAAATAGAGAGAGATAGAAAGAGGAACATATTAAGCAAATTCGGTCCAGTTCTCCTGTTTCTTAAAGACAAAAAGGCTTTTGATGGAATCACTAAATTCCCACTGTTTATGGTTATGCTGCATTTTTCATTATGTGCTGTTGGAATTTGCTCTACTGAGGCAGTCGTGTGAGAAAGGCTACTGTGTTGACATTGTTATTTTAACAGTTATGTGTGACTGCATTTTGTAAGGTCATTTATTCCAATTATCTACTTAAAATTACAGAAGCAGTTGTGTTTGCGGTTGATTGCTGGCTGGTTGGTGAGGTCACTGCTGTCAACTTTTGGCCATTGATTTAAGTTGTATATAGATGTATAATACGTAGACCTATGACATATTAATACTTAAGTAAAGTTAAGTTGAATCAAAGTGAGATAATTTGCACTGTATTGAATTATCCTTTATATCATTGTCAGTGACCACATTCTGAACGCATCTAAACACTACAGTGTTTCCTTCAGGTGACCATCGAGGTGGTAGATGACGCACAGACTGATATGGAGGTAGAGATAGACCTGGTCAAGGACAGTCAGCGTAATGACTGGTCAGTGTCATCATCAGAGTGGGCCAACAGCCACAAAAAACTGTTTTGGCCACTGTTCTGGGAGTACCCGGAGCAGGTGGAGAATGGGCTGGGAAGAGACAGTTTGGCGGAACAGTCTGAAGACTACAACTACAACCCAGAGGAGCCCATCCTGAGTGGAATTGGGGGAGACTGGGGTAGTCACTGGAATGAAGACTGGGATGCAAAGGATAACTACGGTAAGTTTGCTCTCCTAAAACTAAACACAGTACATTTTTAATTATCTCAGTTCATTTGTTAGGGACTGAGCCAGTATCAACTGGAAGGTCCCTATTGATTTTGCTATGTTTATTATTACGCTTAGCATTTTAGACCCCCTGAACATATACTTGGATGTATTTTATTTGGCAAAATGGTCAGGCCTGGTGAAAAATTGGATAATCTATGCGTCACATTCGGCTCGGCCACTAGGTGGCGCTACTATTAAGAAAAGTAGGTTTAGGCTAATAACTCCCGCATCGTTTGTCTCACATTCAAAAACCTTATATCTATGCATTCGGTGAATGGAGCTGCATCTCCCCATATAGGCCACGCCCATTTCCGCCTATACATTTTTTTTCGCTACAGTGCGAAATGTCCATGCACAACGTTCCACGTTCCATCTATACGTTTTTTTTATCCGATCTGCATGAAACTTTTTGCGTAGCATCTGGAGACCGTCCTGGCAAAAAAAGTAATTTAAAGTATTTTGATATTTCAAAAAATAAGCAGGTTATAAAATTAGCACTTCCTGTTGATTTTTCAAAAATCATTCAAAAAAGGAAGTGGGGCATTTCTCCACATTGGTATGTCCGATTGACACCAACCTTGGGTCAATAGTTCCTTATGTCTTCATTAGGCATTGTGTACAACTTCAGGCCATCGCCACAAGGTGGCTCTCTTTAAAATGAAGAAGTTTATATCTCCACATCGGCACGTGTGATTAAAACGAAACTTGGTACAATGATTGCACATGGCCATATTTCCTACGGAGTATTGTTCCTGGAGTGTTGTAGGAAACCGCTGGAAGTCAAGTATTAAATTGCAAGATAAATAGGGGACTTCTACTTCAAAATTGGACAGTCAACAAATTGTAGATGAAAAGTTGAGGTATTTGTGACTGTACCAGCCGATTTGCCATTAAAAAGTACTCATAACTTCAGTGTGCAATGTCCAATATCCAATAAACTTTGTATATTCTGTAACAGTCTCGTTCTGAACACGTCCTCATAACTTCAGTCTACGTGGTCCAATCTCAATGAAACTTCACATGATTGATAAGAGTCCCACCCTGAACACGTTTACATGACAATATTCAGACACAGTGATAGCACCACCTACTGGCAACAGGAAGTAAGCGCTGCGTGGCGATTTTGAGCTTTTGAGATTTTCATGTTGTGGCCCGCACTTGTTACGACGGCACGTGACGCGGCCGCAGCAGGCCCCGAGTTGTGTGGAGTGCGAGGTCCCGCCCAATGCTGCTTGCAGCTTTAATTAGGGACCGAGCCAGTATCAACTCGAATGTCCCTATTGTTTTTGGTCCATTTATTAGGGACCGAGCCAACGACCGCTGGAAGGTCCCTATTGTTTTTGGTCCATTTATTATTAGGGACCGAGCCAGTATCAACTGGCCACGCCCACTTCCGCCTAGATTTTTTCTTCGCTAGAGCACGAAATGTCTAAAAACTACGTTTTCGTGTTCCATCCATGCGCTTTTGTCCGATTTGCACGAAACTTCGCACGTAGCATCTGGAGACTGTCCTGGCAAAAAAAGTATTTTAAAGTATTTTGATATTTCAAAAAATAAGCACGTTATAAAATTAGCACACCACATTGGTATGTCCGATCGACACCAACCTTGGGTCCATAGTTCCTTATGCACGATGCCTAATGAAGACCATTAGGCATCGTGCACAATCGTGAACAATTTGAGGCCACCACCACAAGGTGGTGCTCTTTGAAAGGAGAACGTTTATATCTCTGTGTAGACAAGCGTGATTAATGATTGCCCATGGCTCCCTGAAGCTCGCTAAAAAAGGTGTCAACAATCCGTCACCGGGTGGCACTCTGGTGGAAGATGATTAGCTGTGCGGAGACCGTAATAGTTATGAATATGAAATTCACAGGACACGTGTAGACTGGTACCTGTAGCTCACATACCAAAAATCGTGTTTGTTGTGTTTGTAGCGCCCCCTACAGGATTTTTAAAGAGCAGCTCCGGCGCCACGTTTCGCCGATATGTATGAAACTCGGTAGGCATGTGTAACGTGCTGAGACATACACCTCTTGGACCCATGCCCCAAAACCCAAAGGAAGTTGGCTATTTTAATTTTTAATTTTCACTCTTGGCGGCCATTTTGTAGTAATTTTCACTTTTTGGGCTTATATTTGAAGGAACTCCTCCTAGGAAATTTATCGGATCTGCTTCAAAATTGGTCAGTACAGTCAAGAAATGTTGCAGAATGAACACCGTGCTATTTGCGACTGTACGTTGAAGGGCGTGTCCGTGGTATGCTGTCAAAGTTGGCCATTTTGAATCAAATGTCAAACTGTGATGTCATTTTTGGCATTTCAGGGTTCTATTTTAATAAACTTATCCTACAGGTTTTATCGGCTCGACTTCAAATTTGGTCAGTACAGTCAAAAATTTTGTGACTGAACGCCGTGCTTTTTGTGACTGTACGTTGAAGGGCGTGTCTGTGGAGTGCCGTCAAAGTCGGCCACTGTGATGCCATTTCTGGCATTTCAGTGTTCTCTTTTAATTAACTCCTACAGGTTTTATCGGCTCGACTTTAAATTTGGTCAGTACAGTCAAAACATGGTTCTGCGGTGGTATTTGTGACGTGCGGGCATGTCCGTGGCGTGCCGTCAAAGTTGGCCACTGTGATGCCATTTCCGGCATTTCAGGGCTTCTATTTTAACTAACTCCTACAGATTTTATCATATTGACTTCATATTCGATCACTGCAATCTACATAAATTGGTGATCATAAGTTAATCAAATATTTACTGTGCGTCAAACTGTGTGTCCGTGGCGTGGCGCTGAATTTCCACCTTTCGTAGTGAAGAGTCTCTCTCTGAAAGCGCAAGTCTTTAGCAGTGTCTGAAACGTGTGACAACGTAGAGTGCTCTCCCTCAGCTTCTGGCGATGAGGGCTTGGGAGTGGGGTGACGTGAAAATTCCATGTTGTGGTCCGAACGTGTTACAACAGCATGTGACGCGGCCACACCACGTCCCGAGTTGTGTGGAGTGCGAGGTCCCGCCCAATGCTGCTTGCAGCTTTAATTCTACTTATATTCAGTATGACATTACTTTATAATTACTTTATAAATGCAAAATTACATTTTTTAATAAAAATAAATCTGTGCAATATCAGAAGTGATTGAGCCAATCCCAAAGATCCTATCAGGCTGGCTCCAGATATAATTTAATAGATTGATATCTGCTAGAATACATGAGATCAAATCCAATCTTTCTGTTTCAGCCAGCTCAACCTGCTTAGTGTTGCTGTCCTTCTCTCCTTAATGACAGCAAGGCTCTATAGTGCAGCATTTCACTGAATCTTTGAGTGAAAATTGGAGTGTGATAATGTAAATGTTCCAATACAAGTGTGAGTCGAGACTAGTGATGGGTCGGTAGCGAACGATCCGGCTCAAGACGGGAGCCGGCTCGTGATTGGGAGCCAGATCCGGATTTGTTTTCCGGATTTTCCCGTTTTTTCCTGTTAAAGCCACGTGATTGGTGAAGATGTGTGGCGGCATCTGTGAATCTACACTGAGCAGGAGGGGGGGAGGGAGGAGTTACAGACACACATGGCACAGTGAGCACCTGAACAGGTGGGAGGGAGACGTGAGAGAGCGAGAGAACTTGGCGCTACATAGACAGAGACTACACACTGGAAAGGTGAGGAAAATTAGTGACAGGAAATGTAGTAAAGTTTGGACATATATGTATGTGGCAGACAGTTCAAAGGCAGAGTGTAGACTGTGCAAAGTTAAAAATCAAGCAGCTTTTTGTCTAATTGACATGGGTCTTTGTTTTTGTGTTTTTATAATTTATTTTTGTAGCACTCTGTTCCATGTTGAGTATATTAATAAATCCATATAAATACTAAACATTTGATACAATGCATGTATTTACATTAGATATTCATTTTACACATAATTTGGTAATAAATTAATTTAAGCAACAAAAAATATGAGGAGCCACTTGGGAGCCGAAAGAACCGGCTCTTTTGAGTGAGCCGAGCCAAAGGAGCCAATTGTGAAACTATGTCATTTTCAAAGCTCAGAGTACAAGTCCAGCCCTTATCTCTACATCTCTAATATGTTTGACATGATTAATAGCAGTATGGCCAGTTAAGATTCTGGAGAGAGAGACACAGAGAGACAGGCTCAGAGGTAGAGCGGGTCAGTGCGCTGTACACTACATGCCACACTCACCTCATTCACACAAATTTATACACTGAGTGGTCAAAAAGACTAGGAAGGCACTATATAAGTAAAGTCTATTTACCATGTATGTGCATTTCTTATTACATTACTTACAAAACTAGCGAGTTGATGACTTTGCTAACACAATGTAAACATCAATCAACTACAACAAAAAAGACAGCAATCCAGCTAATATTTCTGACTAGTCCAATAGCACAAACTTCTTGCCAACAACTGCCAGTATGAGATATACTCTGGTCTGGCATTCTCTTGCTCGGTCACTCTCTCTTTTTCTCTTCTTAGCTTCCTCAGTCACCCTCTTGGGTCTCTTCTCCTCTGCCATGCTCTGCCTGGTCGAGGCAGACGACCACCCACCTAGAGCCGAGGGGACTGTCCTAGGTTTCTGCCTCTTAAAAGGAAGTTTTTCCTTGCCGCCGTCGCCAAGTGCTTGCTCATGGTGGGAATTGTTGGGTCTCTGTAAATAATGTTATAAGGAGTTCGGTCTAGACCAGCTCTATTTGAAAAGGGTCCTGAGATAACTTCTGTTATGAATTTGCGATATACAAATTTTATTTTATTTTATTTTATTTAATTGAATTGAATTAAATTGCCTCTGCTGAGTCTGTTTACATTGCCTGCTGGCCCACGCCTCTGGTTCTGGTGCCCTGTGCTGTGTCGTTAGCTGCCCGTCTGCTACAATGAGTACAGTCTTAATTATTATAAGAAATTATGACAAAATCTACAAATAAACAAGCGGAAACATACCT